GTCTCCTGCCTCCACCTCCCAAGTAGCTGGGACCACAGGCGCCCGCCACAACGCCCAGCTATTTTTTGGTTGCAGCCGTCATTGTTGTTTGGCGGGTCGGGCTGGGGATTTGAACCCGCCACCTTAGGTGTACGTGGCTGGCGCCTTAGCCGGTTGAGCTATAGGCGCCGAGCCCACTCTTGTTTTTGAACACCTGAGTTCTGCCTCCCACAGTGCTAAGATTACAGGAGTGAGCTACCACACCCAACCTGATTATTGCTTTTTTCCCCTCACTCCTTACCTCTAATTTAGCACCTTTCTATGGATTTTGCCTTCATTTCACTGAAATCCTTCTGCTTCTCTCATCCTATAGTCACTCCCTTCATTTAGGTTCTCATTTGTCTATGTAGCTGAATGACTATAGTAGCCTCCTAACTTGATAATCTCATCAGCATATTGGCTCTGATAACCTCTCTATTATTAGTGTTCTTTCTAAAATGGAAATCTGACTATGTCAGTGACCTACTTAAATCCTTCAAAACCTTCCCACAGCATCAAAGCTCTTCCTGCTTTGGTCCCTGCTTACTTTTACAGCTTCTTTGCTTGCCACTTCCCTCCTTTGGCCAACTCTGACAACTGAAGAACTGAACTCAAGTCCAAGGAACATCTAAAGTGTCTTTGTGACCCTCCTCAAGCTTTTATCTCACTTACTCCCTACATTGCCTGTAGCACTAATGATACTCTCTTGTAATTGTTGGCTTATCTCTCACTCTGCCAAGTTAAATATACAGGGAATGGCTTTTATTTGACAAAGTATCAAGGCTTCAGAAACATCTAAGTACAAGGATATGAATAATTGTAATGCAAAAATGAAGATTAAAAACATCTGTCTCACATGAGAGATAAAAATTGTTCTGTGAATCAACCTAAGGTCCATAATAGTACAAAGGAATAAAGAAAATGGTGTATATATACCCAATGGAGTATTCAGCTTTTAAAAAGAAAGAAGTCCTGTCATTTGCAACAACATGGACGATCCTGGAACACATTGTGAAATAAGACAAGCAAAGAAAGACAAATGTTATTATTTAAATATAAAAGCTAAAGAAGTCAAACTCACTGGTTAGCCATATGTAAAAGACTGAAACTAGACCTGCAACTCTCACCACTTAACACAAATTAATTCATGATGGATAAAAGATCTAAATCTATGACATGAAACTATAAAAACTCTAGAAGAAAGTATGGGAAAAACTGGGTCTTATCAATGCAGAGAAAGAATTTATGAAGAAAACCCCATGGGCAATCGCAGCCATAACAAAAATAAATAAATGAGACCTGATCAGGTGAAATGCAAACTAATACAGACTTTTTGGAAAGAAGTACGGAGACTCTTCAGAATTAAAAGTAGACCTGTTTGATTCTGTAATCCCATTACTATGTATCTATCCAAAAGAAAAAAAATCATGGTGAGACATTACACGCAAATATTTATAGCAGCTCAATTCACAATTGCAAAGATGTGGAAACAACACAGTGCCCATCAATGCATGAATGGATTAATACACTGTAGTATATGTACCCCCTGAAATACTATTCAGCCATTTAAAAAATGAAGGCTTTATATCTTTCATATTTACTTGGAAGGACTGGGAGAACATTCTCTAAAGTATTGTACTCAATACTAAGTTGAAACTAGTACATCAATAACTACAGACCCACATGAGAGAAAAACTAAATTTAAAAAATAGTGAGGCAGAGAGGGGGCTCAGTAAGTTCCCACCTAATGGGTACAATGTATGGGTCTATGGCATACCTCATGGGTGAAGGACACAACTACATCTCAGACTTTACCTTACAAACACAAGCAGTGTAACTTAGTTGTATATACCCTCTTGTCAATCTAAAATTAAAAAAAAAAACCAACAAACAACTAGAAGCAGAGAGTAGAAGGTGGTTACCAGGGAATGGGAAGATGTAGGTCAAAGGGTATGAAGTTTTGATTAAACAGAACTTAGAAGTTCTAGACATCTGATGTTCAGCATGATAACTATAGTTAACAACAACATATACTGCAAACTTGAAAATTTATAGACAGTATAGGTTTTGATAACAAAGGCCATTCTCTATACACTTGGGTAACTTTGCACAGGGGGAGATGAGTAAATGTTAAATGTTCTAACTAAAAAAATTGGTGAATGTGTGCTGTGACATGTTAGCTTGATTTAGTCATGCAATAATTTATGCATATATCAAAACATGTTCTGCCCCATAAATGTATGCAATTTTACAAAGGAGTTCTGTGTCTTCAGAAGCAGGAGAAAGATAGCATGTGCTTCAAGCAGGAGACCTAGTCACTTTCCATTTCAGAACAGCTATCCCCACAGCAGGTGCTGTGGATGATACAAAAGAAACTAAGATATAGTCCCTTCATTTGAGTATTTTGCGGTGGACTTAGAGCTTTGGAATATGTTTTAGCCATTCCTTCCCTCTGCTGATACTTCAACAGCATGTCTTAGAAGTAACTTAAATGACAGTAACTTAGAGGAGCCATGACTGCTTTGTCAGAGTGTTTTTAAGGACCCAAGGCTTGGTTCTTCTCTGCTTCCCAGATCACTTTTCTGCCTCTCTGCCTGTTCTGTGTCCCAGGAGGCCAGTCTCTTTGCACTCCAGCTCCTGTGCCAGCTGGCTTCTTGACAGCTTCAGCCAATAGGAAGGACCTGCAGGATAGACGGTAGAGGGGCCAGGTGGGGGTGTTTTTCCCTTGTTCCTTCCCTCCTTTGGGTCCTGTAGCTGCCTCACTCCATGGCAACAGCTCCCCCCACCAGCCCTTAATAGCTTCCAGCTCCCTTTGGGTTCTGGTAGCATTTTGCCTCTTGTCTCTTGTGCTTGCAGTCTTCTTATTTGTTTCCCTTAATGCTGCTCACACCACTGTGTGGAGTCTCTTCATTACAGTTCCTTCCATTTGTACTCCTAGAGTAAGTTATGTTGCCTGCCAGACCCTGATTAATACACTAAATATATGTAATGATAAGTGAATACAGTGGTAATATTTATAGTTACTGAACTGATGAGATAAAGCCTGACTAGACTACCTCCAGGTTAGGACCATGTGTTGTTAATTTTTTTATATCTGCAATGCCTAATAGAAGTTTCTGGTCTTCAGTAGGCATTCAGTGACTTATTTTTTCCAGTCAGTGAAATGAAGTGAGGCCATATGATTTGTATTGAGAGCCGTATGCATGCACTCCTGATGAGATTCTGCTTTCCCCTTGCTGCTGAGAAGCAGCTTTTCGGGATTTTTGTTCTGTCACAGTCAGGGTGTGGCAGCTCCTGCCGAGCAAGGCACTTCAACTTATGAAGGCTTTAATATGAAGTCTGAAGCCTTTATGTTATTTTTAAAGCATTCCCTGCCTCAGATTTTTGGAACTGGTTTCCATCTTATTTATTTATCCATCCAATAATTGGATTTATTTTTCTATTAATATTTTAAATTATAAAAAGAATTACATCTAGTTGTTAAAAGTGCAGATACTACAAGGAAAAGACCTCATGTCCTCTCACCATCCCCTTCTGTTCCCTAACTATGAACTTTGTGTATATGTTCACCATTTTGTTGAATAGCTTTCCTTACCTTTTTCTACCTAAATACATGTCATGGAAAGTCATACGTAGGTTTTATATACTTTTCTCTAGTTAAATTTAATATTTTTTAAGTTCCGTTTTCTTCTAGTGGAGTTAATATCCATTTATATTGGCAATATTCTATGGATATTAACTCCACTAGAAGAAAACGGAACTTAAAAAATAACTTTTTGTATAAGATGTAGACAGAATTTTTAATTCTTTTTTCTTTTTTTTTTTTTAATAAAGACAAGGTCTTGCTCTTACTTAAGCTGGTTTCAAACTCCTGAGCTCCAGGGATCTTCCTGCCTCAGCCTCCTACAGAGCTAAGATTACAGGCATCAGCCACTGCACCTGGCCTTTTCCTTTTTCTTCCAAAATTATAGCTAATGGTCTCATTACATTTTACTGAGTAGTCTGTTTTATCCACATCATATTAAATGCCACTGTTACTGTTATTAAATGTTTTTAGTTCTTTGTTTCTGATCTTATTCTGTATATATTTAATCTGTTTAGCTCTTTATGACCATTTTATCAATACCTATTTTATGCTAAGAAAGCTGGATTTAGAATTATATTTGGATCTAATAGTGTTTGGAGTTAAATATAATTTATTTTTATGATTATAGATGTTGTTAAGGAAAGAAGGCTTTTATTACATTGAATTTATATTTAAGGCTATGAAGTTGCCTCTAGAAATCAGTTTGAGAATTATTTTTAAATTGAAGAAATATTGTTAAGAATATGAAATTTGCCAGGCGCGGTGGCTCACACCTGTAATCCTAGCACTCTGGGAGACGAAGGAGTGTGGATTGCTTGAGCTCAGGAGTTCAAGACCAGCCTTAGCAAAAATGAGACCCCCGGCTCTGCTAAAAATAGAAAAACTGAGGCAAGAGAATCACTTGAGCCCAAGTTGGAGGTTGCTGCAAGCTATGATGCCCTGGCACTCTACCCAGGGCAACAGCTTGAGACACGGTCAGAAGAAAAAAAAAAAGAATATGAAATTTAAGTCTAAACTTAAGGTTTTATATCAGCTTCAAATGTTTATTCTAAAGATGAGGAATAGCCCCATTTTCCTTTTTTTATTTTAATCAAATAAAAGGAAAAATTAGAGGAAAATAATACTATTTTAATGAGAATTTTGAATTATAGATTACTTTCATTCCCTGACTAATCCTAAAATCTAATTATATTTGTAACTAACGAAGGCTTTAAAATGACAGCTTGGTGTCTCTGCTTTTTATCCTCTCTCTCCCATTGCTTGTCTCATTTGCTTAGATTACCTAAGAGTGGAAACACATGATGGTTGAAAGCTGCCTACTTACTGCTTTGTTGTATATTTAGAGCAGTGGTTCTCAACCTTCCTAATTGCTGTGTTGTTACAGATGGAACAAAGGGGTCGTGACCCACAGCTTGAGAACCACTGACTTAGAAGGTTGTGGGTTCACTTATCCTTGCTCATTTTTTAAGTTCCTTCAAGGTATTTATCTTTCTGCTAAAGACCTGGAGAGTTCAATGATAAATAAGGTATAGGATCATTTTTATTCCCCCTGTGAAGGGGCTTATAAGTGGTTTTTTTTTTTTTTTGAGAGAGAGAGAGCCTGTGGCATCACAGCTCACGGCAATCCCAAACCCTTAGGCTTAAGCGATTCTCTTGCCTCGGCCCCTCAAGTAGCTGGGACTACAGGCACCCAACCACAGTGCCCAGCTATTTTCTTGTTGCAGTTGTTTTAGCTGGCCCAGGCTGGGTTCCATCCTGCCACCCTCGTTGTATGTGGCTGGCACTGTAACCACTGTGCTACAGGCGCTGAACCTATAAGCATGTTTTTTAAATGATGCTTATAATTAAGGAAATGGTAAAGACTTCAAAGAAAGTTACAGTTTATTTACCATGTTTTGTTACCTTCCAGAATTACCAGTTGAGCAATTACAACTGAGAACATGAGGGGCTCAAAGGCATCCTCAAATAATATTCAAGACACCACAGACAAAGATGGTTATCTTGTATCAGTATGACAGAGTGAATTTATTTGGGGGGAAATTTAGCATGCTCTGTTTTTCTATTGACTTTGAAATAAATACTGTTGTTTCTATTTTGTTTTTATTTCTACAACCAATTTAGTTTAAAATTATTGAGAAGCTTCTATTGATCTATCTCAGTTCTGCTTTGAATAGGTATTGATCTCCATCAGTAATTTTGTCTGCTTTTATGTATGAAGTTTAATGGCTGAACTAAGAAGTTGTCGTCAAACAATATTTATAATTTATAATAGGAGTGGATCTGTCCAAGATAGAAAAACATCCAGATGCAGCCAACCTCCTTCTAAGACTGGATTTTGAAAAAGATGTAAAGCAAATACTCTTCTTTCTTAAAGATTTGGGTATAGAGGATAACTATCTGGGAACATTCCTAACTAAAAATTATGCTATTTTCTCTGAAGACCTTGAAGATCTTAAGACCAGGTAAGGCTTTTACAATGATTTTCATATGACCCAAAAAGTGGTAATGGAGGAAATGCATGTATAAGTTATTATAAGTCTTTGCTGTACAGGAGTCTACTTAGATAATGAAAATGAATGTTTATTTTTTGTTACAGACCTTCTTTGATCTAAAGTATTTAAAACTAAGTAATAAAAGTTCTTTTATTCAACTACCCATATTATTTTTATGTTTTCAACTCATTGCTGAGTCAGTACTTTATTTAGGAGAATAAGATTTTTTTCCTACAAAATCCATTAGCAAATGGCTCACTTTTCTAAGAGAACACTTAAAGTTATGAATGCCTGATCATGTGTGTTTTTTTCTGGCCAGTTTTTGATGGTAGACATTTGACATTCTCTTGACAAATTATTATATAATTTGCTTAATCATTCTGTAAGGTGGCTATTTTGCTTGTTCCTTTTTTTTTTGTTCTTTAGCACTTTTACAAACATCTTTGTACTTCATTCAACATTCGAAGAGTTAACTGAAGCTGTGAGGATTGATACAGCTAGCTAATATTGATCAGTGAGATAAGAGTCCTGCTAGGCATCAGGAATACTACACAGAGCAAAGCAAAGTCCATTGTTCATCGTTACTCTGCCTGTTACTCAAACCAGTCTCTATTCCCAGATTCACTAAGGGGAGCAATGGTCACCCTATTGACCAAATCAGAAATATTGGTATTAGCTTTGGCTTCTCTTCCTTTAGTATCTACATTTAATAAATCACCAAGGCCTATTAGTTCTTCCTTTTTATATCCCAAATCAATCAGCCAGCACATTTCTCTTTCCCCAGATTCACTAAGGGGAGCAATGGTCCCCTATTGACCAAATCAGAAATATTGGTATTAGCTTTGGCTTCTCTTCCTTTAGTATCTACATTTAATAAATCACCAAGGCCTATTAGTTCTTCCTTTTTATATCCCAAATCAATCAGCCAGCACATTTCTCTTAATCTTTAGTTCGAATACTTGCCTCCAGTCTTCATCATTTCACACCAAGATTACTGTGTGTGATCTGGTTAGAGTCTTACTTGATCTGGTTGGAGTCTTGATTGCTTGACTAGAGCCCAGACTACTTTCCACACTGAAGTGGAGACCTGCTGCATTTTAGAGCACTTCCTTGAGCCATCGTAGTCTGTTGGCTTTTTTCTAAATTAGGAGAAAGGAAATCAAAGACTGCATTCCTAACATTGAACAATTTGAGTCCTTATACAGGGTGGCCATCAAGTTCATGTGCAGTTTAAAATAGTAATACACAGGAACTTTAGATGTATATGTAATGCACAGGGACTTTATGGCCACCCTGTGTATGCAAGGTACTGGGCTGGATTTTAGATAGATATAAAAGACACATTTTCTCCCTTCATGGGAATTGTAGTCTGTTATAATATAGGTAGGCTATCACAGTTCATGGGGGAGAGCAAATGATTCTAGGAAACTCATCTGAAACATCCAGCCAGCTCTGTTACTCCTGGCTGTCATGAACATTAATTCCCTCCCTAGTCAAAAACCAACTTGCCCTTGTTACTTAAGATTTATTCTAAGAAAGCATAAATACCAGAGGTGGGGATCATTTCAGAGGTGTAGGCTTTAAATGTTAGGTGGCATGTCTGAGTTTCAATCTTAGTTTTATTACTAATTGGCTGATGAACTAAGACAAGTTATTTAACTCCCTAAATCCATGTTTCCTCAGCTATGATGTGAGAGAGTTACCTGGCTCACAGTTTGTTTTTTTGTTTGTTTTTCTGGTGAGAATTAAGATAATATCCTGATATATTTTAGACATTTAATAAAACTATCTTTCACTATGTTTTAAATTTTTAAAAAATCAATAATGTTGTCTCATAGTCAAACTTTCTATATTTGACGTCTATGTATTTCGTTTTCAGGAACTTGTCAGAAAAACTCAGTTGTTAATAAAATACATTTTGAAGGGATGTAGTAAAAGTTATTTATGATACACACTTAAGAAATATACTAACATAAAGAAAATTTCTACTTACAACTATACTTAAAAGTCTTTCATTTTACAAACTTTGCTTTTTTTAATTTTTTTTCCTGTTCTTAGCCAAAAAAGATTTTTTTTTTTCCAGAGACAGAGTCTCATTTTGTCACCCTCAGTAGAATGCTATGACATCACAGCTCACAGCAACCTCTAGCTCTTGGGCCTAGACGATTCTCTTGCCTCTGCCTCCCAAGTATCTGGGACTGTAGGTGCCCACCACAATGCCCAGATATTTTTGTTGTTGTTGTTGTTGTTGCAGTTTGGCTGGGGCCCACCCTCGGTATATGGGGCTGGCCCCTTATTCACTGAGCCTCAGGTACCACCCCCAAAAAATATCTTAAACAGAATCTATTTTATTTTGTCCTATCAAGTAATAAAGTAAACCAGATTAACTGAAAAGGGAATTCTGCTAGTCGATTTCAGAATTATTTTTCTGTTTTCAAGTATAAATGGAAACCATTCTAGAGCTGGGTGTATACTTGGTTTTAACTATATTTGTGCCATTATTATAGAATGCTTTTGTTTTTATATATTCTTATGGTATGGGAGGCTTTAAAAAAATAGTTGTTGCTTTGGTAAGCAGTATGTCATTAGTAAGTATATAGCATGTGTATGTGTATTTTTGTTTCTCCAGGGTAGCTTATCTACGGTCAAAAAATTTCAGTAAAGCAGATGTTGCACAGATGGTCAGAAATGCGCCATTTTTGCTGAATTTTTCAGTAGAAAGACTGGATAACAGATTGGGATTTTTTCAGAAAGAACTTGAACTTAGTGTGAAGAAGGTAAAAGCGGGGGGTGGAATTTATACATTTCCATGTCAGATAAATTAAGGAGCTATTACATCTCATGTTTCTAACCTGATACCTGATGCATATGATTTCTATAAATTCCTGGAACTTTTTGTACACAAATAAGTTAGACATAAACCTACATCATTTTATAACATTCCCTCAAATTGGTTCCTTAAGTTTTGTTTTTTCCTCAAACAGTACTAAGTTTATGTATTTCTAGGGTCCCTACCATTTTTCTGAGATTCACATTTTAACTTTGTATTACTAGTAATAGTGCCTTAGTTTTCCATAATAGATAAATATGCACATACAGTGGTAATAGATTGCTTTGTTTATAACTATAGACTAGAGACCTCGTCGTTCGTCTCCCAAGGCTACTAACTGGAAGTCTGGAGCCTGTGAAGGAAAATATGAAGGTAGGATGACTTTAAGCTTGTAAGAAATCATCTTCTTTCTCTAAGTGCTTAATCCTCTGAAGAGAATAGATTTTGCTGTTGTCATCCTAAAGAAAACTAGATTTTAAAAGAAGTTAATTTCTAAAAAGAGAAATTGGAAATTATAAGAAATATCTAACAAGCAGTTTGTTTCAGTTTTCTGTTTTCATAGCTATTATATGAGTAAATCACCTTGCACGCATTGGCACCCATAATCCTAAAGTATCAGATTAGGCATATGGGTAGCACCTAGAAACTGCTTCTGTTGCCCAGCATGGAAATCTGTGTCTACATTACCTAGTCTCTGTTACTAGTCTATGAAACTGCTCTTGTTGCCTAGTGTGGGAGTCCTTGTCTATGTCTGGGGGAGTTTTGGCAGCCAGATCCAGAAGACTTCTGTGAAGGGAGCAATGGCCAGCACAAGGTTGTCTTTAACATCCGTGCCATTTGCCTGCTCTAGTTCTATCACAACATACCAAACATTCTGTCCTTCCTCTAAGAGAATATTATGAAGCCAAGGACAACTGACTCTTACATACAAAGCCATAGTAGTATTTGGAATGATTACATAAGGCATGTTTTTTAGTTGCTAAAGCATTTCATATCCAGTCCTGGAAGAAATGTTTATTAAGCCCCTGCCCAAGCACTATGAGGAAGACAGCCCCTGCTCTCAGGGAGCTTAGAATTTAGCACGGGATAAAATCCAGAGTGACAACAGCAGTGGCTTGGTGGGCAAGCATGGGACACTGTGGAAGCACGGAGAGGACCTAGCCCATGTTTGGGTGTTTAGTTTTATCTCCTCTGTCTGGAATTTTGACTTGCAGCTTTTCAGATAACAAGTATGTGGTTGTGCTTGAGAGAAGCAGCTCACAAAACACTTTGAAAATCTTCCTGACGGTCTGTTTGGCATAAGTTAAACCTGCCAGCCCTGCCATGTTCACTCTCTGGTCTTACAATTATGGTTGCTCCTTTTGGTGATCTTCATGATGATTGCCATGTTGTGAGTAGCTCATTCTCAGGAGAGGGGGTTGATATTCCAGTGACTCCACAAGCAGAAAGCTATAATGCCTTGAGAGCATTGGCATAGCTGTCCCCAGATTTTAAAATGTCATTATTTTAAATTTTAAAAGAATCAATGTGGACTTAGTGTAGTGCCAGAATAACTAGTTCTATTCATGATTCATAGGAAATTTACTTTCTTTTAGGTTTATCGTCTTGAACTTGGTTTTAAACATAATGAAATTCAGCATATGATCACCAGAATCCCAAAGATATTAACTGCAAATAAAAGGAAACTTACTGAGATCTTTGATTATTTGCACAATGTGATGAATATTCCCCACCATATCATTGTCAAGTTCCCACAGGTAACGTAGCTCTGCTCCCTGTAACCACTGCCCTTGCCCTTCAGTCAGAGCTGCTGTCTGGCTGCATAGTGCTGTTCACTTATGGAAAGTTTACAGTTTCCAGGGCACACATGTTCTTCTCCTGAGAGGGAGTCAGTGATTCATCTGTTTCCCTCTAGTTTCTACCTATTCCTCGTTCTGCCTGTTGGAGTCAGGCAGAACTAGTCTAACGTAGTCTCTACTGTGGTGTTTTTTCCCATTTAAATTTGAAATAGATAACTTTGCTTAAAGGTTCTTTCAATGCTATGTGTATATTTTATTCACAGTTTATCTAAATTCAAGAATCAGTCTTTTTTTATTTGTGAGACAGAGTCTCATTTTGTGCCCTTGGTAGAGTGCCATGGCATCATAGCTCAATGCAACCTCCAACTCCTGGGCTTAGGCAATTCTCTTGCCTCAGCCTCCTGAGTAGCTGGGACTACAGGCGCCCACCACAACACTTGACTATTTTTTGTTGCAGTTTGGCCGGGATGGGTTCAAACCTGCCACGCTTGGTATATGGGGCCGGCGCCCTATCCACTGAGCTATAGGTGCTGCCCAAATAAGTCATATTTTAATGATCTCTTACTCAAGCATAAAACAAGTTCCAGTTTGCCATCGTGCCAAGCCCATAATTATATTTTCTAGGCTAATCAGACTTGGGTACTCTTGACCTGTCAAGTGACATTATCTGCTGTTCATAAGAATAACTCTTTGAAAGCTGAGACCTTGCCTAATTTATACACTGCCGAATCCACAGTGCCTAGAACTACATCTGGCTCTTTATCAGGCTGTAAATACTTGTTGAACAAACGAATGATTGAATTTCACCAACATAATCCTTTCTTCCTATTTGCCATGTGAATAGGCATTTAGTATTTACTGGATAAATGATAGATTGAATTTCATTAAATGATCCTTCTATTCTGTTTGCTAGGGTATGTTCCTGTTCTTTATATAAAAGTAGGCAAAAGAAACACGACCTCAGAACTAGACCGCATGTCGTTCAACTCTTTCATGTATTATGATGTTTATTGTAATCAGACTTCCTTAGGAATGGGCCTTTAATAGAAAATTTTCCTCTTTCACGAAATGCAAACATATTCATTATAAAAGTGTTAGAAGCCAGCAGTTGTGTAAATTAGATTTATGGAGCAAATGTAAAGTAATCTTCCACTAGAAAACAATGACAATTTTTTTTCTCCAGAGTTGCTAACTAATTCAGTGACAATAAATAAAAGAATCTGATCTGCCTCCTCCTTGCCCTACTGGTCCAGTCATTTTTTTCATATGTATTTGAGCATCCGCCTCGTGCTAGACACTGTGTAGACACAAAGGATACAAAAATCAGACATGGTCTCTGTTCTTATGAAACTTGTAATCTAGGGGGAAAACTTTTAATCTAGGTTTTTAAAATGTAATTGCTTTACATAGTGGTAAGAGTCTTAATCAGAGGTCCTATAGGAGTGATTAATTTAATTTAGAAGAGGTAGGGGAGTTACAGAAATAATAATAGCAGTTGAGCACTTAAATGTGTGCCAGCTCTATCTATCTTTACTGCTTTACTTGTATTACTCATTTAATTCTCCTAACAATCATATGGAGTAGGTACTATTCTTATCCCTATTTTACAGATGGACAGTGTAAGCATAAAGAGATTGAGTAAACTGTCCAAAGTTACCCAGTAACATGGGGTAGAAGTAGAGCAAGGGTTAGAAGTCCATAAACCCACACTTGCCACTCTACAAAGTGATTTTAGTCTATAGAATAATGAGTGGCGTTTAAAAGATGAACACAAACATTCCAAGTAGAGGAAACTGAGCTGACCAGATGCCTCAAAATCACTTGGTTAAAAACATTTTAGACACCCCAGGTCCTTTATTGAAAAATAAAACAGGCTTGGTGCCTGTGGCTCAAGCGGCTAAGGCACCAGCCACATACACCTAAGGTGGCGGGTTCGAATCCCCAGCCCGGACCTGCCAAACAACAATGATGGCTGCAACCAAAAAATGGCCAGGTGTTGTGGCCGGCGCCTGTAGTCCCAGCTACCTGGGAGGCGGAGGCAGGAGACTCGCTTGAGCCCAGGAGTTGGAGGTTGCTGTGAGCGTGATGGCACATGGCACTCTACCCAGGGGGACAGCTTGAGGCTCTGTCTCAAAAAAAAAAAAAAAAAGCTTATTAATGGAAAAATACATTAACTGACAGTAGAGCTCTGAAGGATCTGATACACGTTAAATTTGGGGCTAGTGTTTCAAAACTCAGTGGTATGAAACTAATTTTCTCATGAAGATAACAGGCTTGGTTGACACATGTCTCTTATGATTAATTAAAAATGAGAGTTAGTCATAGTGACCTGTAACTTGAAGAGACTGAGGTGGGTGGCTTGCTTGAGCCCAGGAGTTGAAGACCAGCCTGAACAAGAACAAGACCCATATATACAAAAAATAAAAATATTATAGACAGGCATAGTAATATGTGCCCGTAGTCTCAGCTACTCAGGAGGCTGAGGCAAGAGGATCACTTGAGCCCAGGAGTTTGAGGTTGCTGTGACCTATAATGATGCCACTGTCCTCTAGCCCGTGACAGAGCAAGACTTCGTCTTAAAAAAAAGTGGAGAAAGAAGTATAACAATAACTGGTAAATTTAGTTATTTCAAAGAGATGATGGAATGTAAAGGATAATGAAAGGAGTTTTAAGGTAATGAGCATGAACTAGTCAAGGGAAAGAAGTTACATTCAGGATCCCCTTAAAACCTGTCTCTCCCCTTTCACTGAGTTTCTGTGGAGGCAGAACTGGAGTCTAACTTAGGATAGAGAATATCAATAATTCTCAGACTTGGGGGGGCTTTTTTATTAACTCTGAGAATTTAATGCATCATTAACAGTATAAAATTTTTGTGACAGTAGCAAAGTGGTTCCTGATGGCAAAAACTATTACCCCTTTCTCCACCTCTCCCACCCCAAAGAAGAAAAGAAAACTTTTATCTGAGCTGTAGCTTTTGGACTTGAAAGAGCACATAACTCTCTAATGATAAAGTAACCCTCAACCCTTAGAGAAGTAATGTAGTATCTGGTTATAAGCTATATAAATGCTTCAAAGTATTGTTATAGTTAGGAAATTAATAATACTTTGGGAGCATCAGCGTCATTTGTGCTTTTGTCTATATATTGTACGACAGTTTTTTAAGCCACGAATCATTGTGTAGGAACCATACTTCTGAAAAAATACATCTAATGCTTCTTACATCTTAATTTGTAGTAATATTGTGGTAATGGGAATTTAGTTACCAAAATGAGGGCAGAATAGCATATAATTTGCTTTTGCAGAAACAAAAGAGATGTTCTGTTCTAAAACCAACACAACTTTTTTATTTTCTTAAATTTTTTTTTTTAGAGACAGAGTCTCACTTTGTTGCCCTTGGTAGAGTGCTGTGGCATCACAGCTCACAGCCACCTCCAGCTCTTGGGCTTAGGCGATTCTCTTGCCTTAGCTTCCTGAGTAGCTGGCCACAATGCCTGGCTACTTTTTGTTGCAGTTTGGCTGGGGCCAGGTTTGAACTGGCCACCCTTGGTATATGAGGCCAGTGCCCTACGTGATCACTGAGTGAACCAAAGGCACCGCCCCCAAGACAACTCTTACATTGAGTTAGCAACCTATACATTTTTTTGGTCCCTATTCTCAAAATACTTTAGTTTTCAACAATTGTGTTTTTCATAGTGTCCTTTCCAAATGATCTGTTATTTTGTTTTTGGGTGAACATAGAAAAAGAGCTCTGGAGGTTGTATGCATGTCCAGTTTTTACAGTGTCTCTGTAGCATAACCAAGAAGAGAGCTTGAGGTACAGTACTAAGTGGGGTTCTTCCAGGCCCTCCGAGGGAGCCTCAGATTCCTTAGGCTTCAGGCTGTAGCTTACTTTTGCCGAGATCACCCACTTCCCCTTCTTTTTTATAGTGGCTCTAAAGACTTAGTCTGCTTCTTGTTACTTTTTAAAGTTGCTGCCACTCAGTCTATTCCTTAGAGGAGTTTTAACCCCAGGGGGACAAGATATACTTAACCTAGTTGCTTTCCAAAGAGGTCAGATTCATTTCATTTCAATTCTTGTCAGGGGAGCTGCGGGAATTTAAAAGAAAGTGTAGGTAAGTGTCACAATCATAAAATCTTATAAATTTTTGGATGACATAGATCTTGACTTCTAACATTGCTTCTCAAACTTGGTAGATGTTAAGTATTATCTAGATGGCTTGTTAAAAAGGATTTCCGGGCCCTGCCCTATAAGTTTCTGATAAAGTAGTTTTGGGGTGAAGCCTGAGGATTTGCTTTTCTAACACATTCTTACTGATCTCTGGACTAGTCTGTTCTTTGCCCAACAGTGTAGCCCTTAATTATTTTATTAGTGTTCTGGATATGGGTTTTGAGACCCTTTCTCATTATGCTATAGGATTTAAATCCTCTGGCATTTATCATATTTACTGAGCATGTGATTAATACTTTATAGTACTTGTTATCTTATTAAAATTTTCAGGCAAGGATTGGCGCCTGTAGCTCAGCTGCTAGAGTCCCAGCCACATACATCGGAGCTGGCAGGTTTGAAGGCCTGGGCCTGCCAAACACCAATGACAACTACAACCAAAAAATAGCTGGGCATTGTGGTGGGCACCTGTGGTTCCAGCTGCTTGGGAGGCTGAGGCAGGGGAATCGCGTAAGGCCAGGAGTTTGAGGTTGCTGTGAGCTGTGACACCGCAGCACTCTACCCAGGGCGACATAGTGAGACTCTGTCTCAAAAAAAAAAAAAAAATACAAAATAAAATAAAATTTTCAGGTAAGTAAACTTTTTGATATTTTGTCCTTCAGTGTATATTGTTTTTAAAAAACTTTTTTTTCTTTTTTAGGTATTTAATACAAGGCTGTTTAAAGTCAAAGAAAGACACTTGTTTCTCACCTACTTAGGAAGAGCACAGTATGATCCAGAAAAGCCTAACTACATCTCTTTGGACAAATTAGTATCTATTCCTGATGAAATATTTTGTGAAGAGCTTGCCAATGCATCAGTACAGGACTTTGAAAAATTCTTAAAAACTCTCTAGTTTTTAATGAATATTAAAATTTAATATTTCAAAGTCAATGTTTATATGAATATGTATTTTTAAATAAATATCTCAGGTCTCGATATTGGAAACAATTTCTTGCTTTTGTAAATGTGGGTATGTACACTGTAGTAGATCTATGTAGTAGATCTTTCTTACAAGTTCCCAGTGACTTAATTCTTGTTTGTTTTCACCATTTCCTTCCTTTTCAGGGAGGGGAGAATTAAAAATATGGGAAGCTTAGAGAAAGGGAGAGAGTTGATTTACGTTAACCTTGTGCTTTGTCAAGCCAGTGAAAATGAGAACAGTGATTTTCCTGTTCTTACAGTCTCAGGACTTTTAAAGTGGTTTCACCACAAGATGGCTTTATTTCCTTGAAATATTATGTTCAAAAGTATACTAAATTATTCATCTAATCTCTATGAAGATAATGCTACAAAACACTTTACATTTTGTTTTTTTAATACTGTTATCTTCCTAAGCCCATATATGCTAAGTTGCCTACAGCTGGGTACTTAAAGACATGAAAAGAAGATAGGGAGGAACCAGGAATGTCCAACCTTTTGGCTTCTTTATACCACACTACAAGAAAAAATTATCTTAGGCCACACACTAAATACACAAACACTAACAAAAGTTGGTAAGCAGAAAAAAAAAAAAAACAGTCCATGCATAATTTTTGTGGTATCTGCCACCATAGACAAGCAAAAAAATTCTCAAGTAATCTGTACGCAGCCTGCAGGCCACAGGTTGGATACCCTTAGATGAGGTGGTAAGACACAGTAAAAGGTTTACCAAACCTTTCACTTACTGCCAAGAAGCAAAGGTTTATTTTCCGTTTACTACATGGTATGCTGGTCAAATGATTTAGTATCTGATTCATTGCTTTTTTTATTTGTTAAATGAGGCATCATGGCTTCAGTTGTCTGCCCTAGTATCACCAGATTGGGCTAACACTGGTGGAACCCTATGAACCACATCTCACATTTGCACTTTGTGTCTTCCCTTTCCACGCTGACTCTTAGCCAATATGATTTGGCCCGTGGAACACTATCAGACAGGCTTGATGAGCACTTGCACATTGCAACTTGTTCCTCTCAGACCCTGGGCCACTATATAAAGAGGTCTGGTTATTGCAAGAGAAATCAGGTTAAGAAATATGCCTGGTCAATGCCCAGCTGTTTCAGCCATGCCAGATGAGCAAAACTATTTTGGATGGTCCAGCCTCAGCAGATACTACACTGATCAAAACTACTCAGATGAATTCAGAATTGGGAGAAGAGTGTTTTAAGCCATTTATTTTGGGCATATTCTGTTGGGCACCAGGGTTTTGTGATTTACTGGATGCCTATAAAGAAACCTCATAAGAAACTAATTTTGTGATTTGTCAGGGCCAGTTACAGAGACCTTCCTATTAAATATTTTATTTACTCAACAAACATTTGAGTTCCTAGAATACAGTGTTAACTGTGGCATAGATACGTGCTTTCATGGAGTTCTCCAAGGGATGCAATAAACAGAAAAGAAGACAAAAGAAGGTACAGCTGAGAGAGAAAAGCATGGAACCCTTAAAGGCTGCCTGGTCTTTCTATGGCTCAGAACTTCATTTTGCCTTTATGAACAACCTGTTCATATCAGTGAGAATATGTTAAGGTATGCTTATGCAGTGAACCTCCTAAAAGCTCAAATGATTTAAAACCAAAAATGTTTTTATCTCACACGTCTCTGTTTGCTTACATAGATTGATGTATGCTGTATGTCTCCACCATTTCTGGATTGTTGCCAGTCTGTGGAAGGGGGATTATGGGAACTCAGATGCTTGTTGAGTGAATGAAAAGAATATAGAGACTCTCTCTTAGACGTTCTTGGGCTTTTCTTGGCCAAAAACGTCACATGGCCATGCCAAACTTCAAGGGGGTAGAGAAAGGCAATCCCTAACCCTCAGCTGGGAGGGAAGAAAACCAAAAATAATTTTAAATCAACTCTAGCAAACATCGAAGCTTACTTCCTGTATAAGCTGATTTTGTGAAAGTCCTGGGTTTCTAATCCTTTGGTATAATGGTTTTCTTCTCTCACCATGTTCATCACTTTGTCACCAGCAAGCTGAAATTTAAAGGGTAAGGAGGAAGAGAGAGGAGTTTATTGAGTACCTACCCTTTGTAAGATAATGTACCAAGATACAAATGTATTGCCTTTCTTCATCTCTCAGACTTCACCTTGGCTAGTGTAGGCTGGAAGAAGACATTCATCAGTTTTCAGTGCTGTACATGGAGCAAAGTAATAGAAATTGTGATAACAGAAGAAAAAGGGAAAAGGTAACAGAATTTTAGAATTGGAATGTAGCCAAGACCGCTAAACTTAATCTTTTAAATTTACAATGTGACTGTGTTTTTTTTTTTTTTGCAATTTTGGGCAGGGTTTGAACCTGGGGCTGACGCCTTACTCCTTTGAGCCACAAGCGCAGCCCAATGAGACTATGTTCTATATTATCCCAGTTCTGAGAGGAAAGCTGAAAAAAAATTTTCAGTGGGTAATAGTAGAAGTTCACTGGCATCTATCAATCATACTGATGCCCTCAATTGTTTCCTGTCCTTAAGATGTTTATCCTAAGATTTCATACAATGCGGGCTAAGACCATAAAAGTGAGCAAATCTATATACTTGCTTCTCTCTTAAAATTGCATGCAAATTCTGCAATGTCTTAATTTTAAAAAATATTTTGTAACCTAATCTTTCACTAAAACGGCTAGTTGGAGCTCTTCAGCTCTACAAACTGACGTCCACCAAAGTTTGGTGTCTTTCCTGGATTACCTCCAGAATTAAGGAGCCCCTAATTTGTGTCTAGACTCTCAGATTCTGGATCCTTCCTTGCCATGTGATCTTGGACAAATTATCTAACTTTCCCAAGCCTGAGATTTCTCCTCTCTACACTGGAGAGGAGAAATAATTCTATAATAGTAGTTTTAGATTTAGAATTAAATGAGAGTGTAGAGAAGTGAGATATAACTCCCCATCCCCTTTTGCCTTACATGTGCTCTTTGGTTAAATTGACACAAGAGCAAAGCATACAAATTGTACTCGTTTTACTTGTACAACATGTTTAACATGAGAGCGTTAAGTCTGAAGTGGCCAATACAAGATGCTTTTATGATTTTTAGACATAAGGTTTAAGAAGAAATGACAGAACAAAGGGGACTTGACTAGGAGCAGAAACTAGTGGAGTCACTGGAAGGTGGGAGGGGGTGTAAAACTAGCAGAAAATAGGGGCTACTTCATCAAGTGTATTTATTCAAGTCCAATGCAACTCCCAGTTTCCAGACTCTGGCGATAAGGGTTATTTTCTCGCCCTGTTAAGGGATGGGTACTCCTCCCAGAGGAATCTATGACTTGTTGCATACTGGAAGAAACCATTTCTCCAATGTTCTCAGCTTGAAATAATACGCCAATTAAACCTATTTGCAGATGGTATAAGAATATGCCCGTACAACGTTCAGTTACGGCCTGGGGCAACAAGCAAGATTGCTACAGCCCACGTTCTTACAGCTAGTGAGAGCCCGGATTTAAGACTCGGTCTCCTAATTACTGGCCTATGTTCGTCCCTTCATGTCACAAGGGCACAGAACAGTGTTTCTCAGACCAGACCTCACGAAACTCCCCCACCGACTCCACTTGCCTCAAACAGAGAAACAGACCCACGCCACAAGTCCCGAGACACAGCCGCCAGAGCTGCGCCTGCGCGGGCGTCCTCCGTCGCCTCGCGATGCGTCATTTAACGCGCCTGCGTACTGGGCCCGGCGCGTCCTCTAGGACTTACCCAGAAGGCAATGCGTTGCTCTCGGGTCAAAATGGCTGGCAGGCCGGCTGGTGAGTAGTTCGTGGGAAGGGTGGCTCCTGGGTATAGCGGCGTTCAGTCTCACAGTAGCTTTTATCTGAGAATGGGAGGTTGCGGTTCTAGTCCAGCCAAACGGATGTGTTCCCTCACCCCTTTGCTGTCCCCAGGCCGGGCTTGCTTGGAGGTTTGAGATAAGCCCTGTTTGTGAAGGTGCCCCGGTGGCTCTAACATCCCCGGAGTTCCACCTGCCTGTGTTCGGCAGTCCTTGCCCTCGGCCTTAGAAAAGTTCAAGGGCACAGGAAGGTAATTAGTAGATGACTTTCACCCAGTATGAGCTCACTACTTGCTGTGGCCCTTGCGCTGCCTTGTGCGTTGGCTCGATAAACTCTACCAGTGGAAAGAGGGAGGTAATAATTTCTCTCTTAGTCTGATAAGGTAACTGAGGTTAAGCGACCCGAAGAAATAGATTTGGAGTTCATTTCCGCTTTTTAAACTGGGAATTAAAGACAGCTGAGCGAGGGTTAAAGCGAAGAATCCAGTTAACCTTGGCTTATCTGGACCGTCAGTTTGATTTGTAGGTTTGGAAAAATTGAAATTATTGTAGCCACTAGAACAGATGCATTTACTATGGAAAAGAATGCAGGAATTACTGGAATAGTAAAACAACATGAATTTAAGGTAGGGGTTTCCTTATTCTTTTTTCTGTTTTGTTAATCTCTGCCCTCTGGCGGTATACGCGGAAATTGGGAGTAGCTTTTAAAAAATACTGGTCCAGCCAGACCTGGTCGCGCGCTCCTATAGTGCCAGCTGCTAGGTAGGTTGATGAGGGAAGATCGCTAGAGCAGGAGTGAGGCTGTAGTGTTCCAATTAGCCACTGTACAAGGAGATTTAATCTTAAAAAATAAAAATAAAAAAGAAAGTCCCGGGCGGCGCCTGTGGTTCAAAGGAGTAGGGCGCTTGTCCCGTATACCAGAGGTGGCGGGTTCAAACCCAGCCTCGGCCAAAAACTGCAAAGAAAGAAAAAAAGAAAGGTCCCCCTTTCCCCACCCTTGTTGCCATTGTGAAGTTGTCTGTCAAGTTGCCAGAAAAAATCTGTTAGACTAAATGACATTGATTTTGGGGGGTGGGGCGGGGTATTGAGGGAGACGTTTAAGAATTATTACATTAATTTGGTAGATATTGAAGGAGCCTTACTAAACTCAAGGTTCTGTGCTATATTTGAGAACCACACGGACACGAACTCAACTATCACTAACTAGTTCAGACTTTGGGCAGTATTACTATGTAAGCCTGCTGCTTCTCCTGCAATAACAGACGTATTGTAAATAAACCCAGCTGATGCTAAGGCAAATAGGATACTGCATGTTACACAATAAGTGTAAATTTGGTGAATTAAATTTGGTGACTTTTAATTATTGTTATAATCACAGGTAATTGTTTACAAATAATTTATTGTCCACAGTATGTTTTGTATATTGTTGATTCTTTGATATCTGTTTTTCTTGAAGTAATTTTGTGCATGACTCTTAATTTCCAAGATTTACTGAAGCCAATTTGTAATGTACTGAGTAGGAAGCAAGGAGGTGTTGGAAAGGAGAGGTTTACTTCCTTGATAAAGGCCCAGCCATAGACAAAATTTTAAAAGAAAATTTAAACTTGTTCTGTCTTCCCTTCTGTCCCCATAAGGCCTTGTCACATTGTCCTTAGCCCCTGCTGGGTTACCTCATCAGCTTTATTCCCCATTTTAAGATTGCATATTTCTCCTCATCCATTTTCAAATATCTGGTCTCTTGGTGGGAAGTTAGTTGCTTGCGTGGGAGGAGGGAAATGGGCTTCTTTTCCTAATCTGTATTAATGTTTAAATGACCAATGGTGTTAGAATCCTCCTAGAAATAAATTTATTTTTAAAGAGAAGGAAGCCAAGTGAAATAAGTGTCCTGTAGAATAAAAATTATCAAGCATGAGGGTCATTTAGACCTGCCACCTATCTTGAAATCTCACCCTCCCTTCATACAACTCCAGATCTTTGAAATGTTTATAGTTATTTTCTACAGTCTGTTTCCAAAACCAGAAATGATACAGGTGTTCTAAGCCCCTCTCCCATCCCCTCATCCCATCCATTCTAATGGTAACGGAGAGGCTGGTGTAACATTAAGTGTACCAATGGGTCTTTTGTACCTTAGGTGTTTGAGTTTACCCTTTTTCTCCTATGACTTGCCACCTACAGTTTTACCTGCATTTACCTTACTCTTAGATAAAATAAGCAATTTTTATCTACAGTATATAGAGCATAAACTTGTAAAGGGAAATTTCTCCCTATGTTTGCATTCAAGAGGCTAATTGTAAGAGTGCTGGATGCTTGCCTGTCAGTGTATTCATACAGTGTAAGTGGATTGTAGCAACTAACAGTGTGACAATTGCTAGTTGCAGCATCAGGCCGGTGGCTGGAAGGTATTCGAAAATGGTATTACAATGCTTCAGGATTCAATAAGCTGGGTGAGTAGCTGTGCTTTCTTTTCTTTTCTTTTTTTTCTTTTTCTTTTTTTTTTTTTGCTTTTTCTGAGAATAGTACTTATGAAAGCTTTATTATGATTCCAAAAAGTACTTTATTTTTTTCCCTTTGTACATCAGGGATTTTTAAATTAGGTCACATTTTATTGTTAAGTCCATTTCCTTTTTTTTCTTTCTTTTGAGAACAGAGGGATGAAATCCTATAAATTGTTTGAAGTGGCGATGATTTATAGTAACAGAACATTTTCCTTATATACTCCACATACAAATTTTTAATATTTTTCAAATATTTAAATTCTCACATCTTTGCAATCATATGATTCCTAAACTGTTTTAGAACTTTATAATTTGCTGTGAACTTCATTTTTTGCTGTTGAAGCTTGGTGGAAGTGTAATTAGATGTCACTGGTTTCTTAGTATAGACTATTTATTTATTTATTTTTGAGGCAGAGTCTCATTCTGTCCCCCAGGTTAGAGAGCAGTAGTCTGGTCATAGTTCACTGCAGTCTCAAACTCCTAGACTGAAGAAATTTTCCCACCTCAGCCTTTGGGGTAGCTAAGATTGCAGGTGGAAACTATCAAACTCAGCTGATTTCTTTTGTAGGAAGAGGGTCTTGCTCTATTGTCCAAGCTGTTCTTGAACTCCTGGTTTCAAGGGATCCACTTTGACCTCCCAAAGTGCTGGGATTATAGGCAAGAGCTACCATGCTTGGCCCTAGTACACTATCATTTTAAGATTCTGTAATAACTTGATCTTAGATTTAAAGTATAAGTAGGGAGTTTTTTTTATTGATGTGTGTTTAAAAACAAAGTAAATATTTTTTAAAATTGACTTAGATAGAATGTGAATTTTGTGGTTGTGGATTTTAAAAGGCCCATATATTGTTTCCACTTTACAGTTTAAGAAATAACCCATTATGTGTATGAAGTGCACATAGGGGCTTCTGTTGTGCCTAGTGATTTGAACTCCTGATGTTTGACCCATGTCTTCAGTTACAAGTCATAAAGATATTTTCCTGGTTTAAAAACAAAGCCTGGTTTTGGAGATGCATGTTTAGCTGTGTGTTCAATCTCATTCTTTCGTTTTCTATCATAGGGTTAATGAGAGATGATACAATATATGAGGATGAAGATGTAAAAGAAGCGATAAGAAGGCTTCCTGAGAACCTTTACAATGACAGGATGTTTCGCATTAAGAGAGCGCTGGACCTGACGATGAGGCAGCAGATCTTGCCCAAAGAACAGTGGACAAAATATGAAGAGG